AGTAGGCGTTCCAGACAGAACACCTGCTGTTGCATGACACAACCAACAGGGCCACCGCTGTGATACAAATATTCCATTAGTGTGATCCAGACACTGTCCTGTTGCGGTATATACTACTTATATTTCTGCGGCTGAAAGAGCTACTGCTGTACAGCACTAGAATGCGATCCAGACAAAGGCGGGNTATAGCATGTACTACGGAGTACAAGGTATGATATAGCCGACAGAGGCGACTGCTGTATCATATCACATCATGTGACACAAACGAAAAATATATTCCAGTACTGCTGTACAGCACTAGAATGCGATCCAGACAGATGTAGCCAATACTGCTGTATGGAGTACCGGGTACTGCTGTATAGTGAACAGAAGAGTCGTTGCTGCTGCACAGGTTCATCAACAGCAGTAGAGAGAGAGAGAGCACGTGCGGGTTCATCAACAGCAGTATAAGAGAGAGAGCAGCTCCCTCTCTCGCTCGCTCTCTCACACAAACATACTGCTACAGAAGGATCAGCTACTTATTTGGTATCATCCATTTTGGAATATCGCCTCCATCAATTCAACGCGACTTCTGGATGGAGGTCTTTGACTCTGCCCTCTGCTGCTGCGGACATGATGGGACGAACGCTGCTGGCAGGAGACGACGATGAAGCAACACGCTGACCACCANCAGGTTCGGCCTCGGCATCTGACAGCATGTCATCCTGTTGGATGTCATCCAGAGCAGCCAGCGCTGCCGCAAGCGCGACTTCTGGATGGAGGTCTTTGACTCTGCCCTCTGCTGCTGCGGACATGATGGGATGAACGCTGCTGGCGGGAGACGACGATGAAGCAACACGCTGACTACCCACCACAAGTAGCAGTAGGAGTAGCAGTGATGGCAGCCGAGCTGGCATAGCGCTGTCGTGGGGATGTGAGTCTGTGGGATGTGCGTCTTGGTGTCAAATTGGCATATCATGTATGCCGCACAAATTCAAAAATAGCAAAATGATGGAACAATACAAATGATCTGTCCAGATCATATTTTCAAGTTCTCTGATCAACTCGGGCGATCAGAAACCCAGTTCATTTTTTCTTCGATCAGAGAAGGCGCAAAAATGACACATAAGAAGCCGGATGTGACACCTAGATCATTATTGATCAAAAATAATCTGGCCAAAATGACACATAATAAGTAGCCTTGACAAGTGCCATTTCCTCTACAGGGGGTTCAAAATCTTTCGGACCTCAAGAGGTCCTTGATTTGGAACCTGTGGAGTGATGACTTTCGATAGCTTGTCATGTATTCTTTAGATGGAATCATACATAAATGCACTGGAGGGTTGAGAGGGCCTCAAAGCCCTCTTAGAGGGAATTCAAAAAACAAGCGGTAGAAGTGCTGTTACCGCTTATTTTCCCCCCCACGTCTTGGGGGCGACTCTGACGCGCTCATTTGGCGCTGTACAGCCCAATTTTCTCCACAAAAAAACAATTTGCTTGTTGCGNTAGAAGTACTGTTACCGCCCATTTTCCCCCCCACGTCTTGGGGGCGACTCTGACGCGCTCATTTGGCGCTGTACAGCCCAATTTTCTCCACAAAAAAACAATTTGCTTGTTGCGATTCTTCACTCACTCGGACGTTCTCTGCGAGCACGACAAAAAACACATTGGAACGACTTTAATGCAGCGGAGCTCGAGAACAAGCGGTTCAAGTACTGTTGCCGCCCAATTCTGCCCAAGTCTTGAGCANAAAACAATTTGCTTGTTGCGATTCTTCACTCACTCGGACGTTCTCTGCGAGCACGACAAAAAACACATTGGAACGACTTTAATGCAGCGGGGCTCGAGAACAAGCGGTTCAAGTACTGTTGCCGCCCAATTCTGCCCAAGCCGTGGGCGATTTGGACGCCAGGTGTACACAAAACCATTACTCCCTTACCAATACGGAACGTCATGACGTTGAGATATAACGATGCGACCGCGATGACATTGACCATGTCTTCTGGCGTCGCCCCCGGGAGCCAAGCCACCTAAATCTCCAACAAGAATAATGTACTTGTATCTTGCCGATCTAGAAATAGCCGTCGATCGGCACAGATGGTTACACCACCATCGACGACGCCATGGGTATCGATGGACCATTATGACACCTTCGTCTAACAACAGGTAGCGAGTGAACGTGCAGCGCCCTATCGATCAAGCAATAGCTACGATCGATAAGACTGTGAGGTATCGATCTACCTACAACGAGACATCAAGCCATTAAATAGGCTATCGGGCCGTGGTGTGACCGCGCACCGCCGTCACGCCTGTGTGGGGATGACGGAGGAACAGCATCACGCTGGTGTGCAACATCATGCGCATACGGTGTCGGCGACGGCAGGGATTCTTTCCGGGTAGCAGGTGGCGGGCCCAGGGTATCGTTTCCTCCGATCGGAGTGGGTGTCCCGTTCCGGATAGCAGGTGGCGGGCCCAGGGCATCGTTTCCTCCGATCGGAATGGGTGTCATGCTGCCGTCGCTGCTGCGGTTCACCCCGGCCGTGCTCCAGGCTGTCCCCACCGTTGCTAGGAGGGGCCGACGGGTCGGGGTCCGTGCTCTTCGCGGTTCGTCGGCGATAGNTCCGATCGGAATGGGTGTCCTGCTGCCGTCGCTGCTGCGGTTCACCCCGGCCGTGCTCCAGGCTGTTCCCACCGTTGCTAGGAGGGGCCGGCGGGTCGGGGTCGGTGCTCTTTACGGTTCGTCGGCGATATAGGAAGAACCCAAGTGCTCCTAACGCCAGCGCGCCGGCCACAGCGCCGACTACAACGCCCACCATCGATGCGCCCTCTTTGTCCAGACCAGCAGCGGAATAGCAGCGATGAGCGTTGATGGAGGCGGGACTCTGTTAGGCAACGACTGGTAGCAGGACAGCCACATTTCGACTTATCAACCGAAGAATTTCAGGGCTAGTCTGTGCGATCCTCACGTCGCATCAAGCAAGACTGCACGTACAACACGTGTGAGTGCGTCTGCCCATTTTCTCAACTAATTTCCCAACACTTTGGACGGAGTCGATGGCAACGGGAGAGGGTCCTTTTATCGGCAAACCTCGAGGAACTCTGGGCATGAGGACAACAACTATCCACCGTGAAGGTGGACCCCCTCTCGCTCTCAAACATTGGCCAGAAGCCCTTGAGGCCACGGGCTTTACCCTGCCTGCAGGTAAGCCGTAAGCTGAGCAGACACATTGAACAAGCGAACGTCTAATCCTACGGAAAAGTATACCGCAAGGTGTTCGACGAGGGAACCGATGGGGGTTGCTTCATTCGAGTCAACACTGCACCGCAAAGAAAAAGGCCAACATATATATGCGAGCGAAAGACCAGACAGACTTTTGTCCATGCGGGTTTCAAGACGGGCTCATGTCGGCAAAGCCGCTCTTGTCTGCGTTGTGATGCATACAATCAAGAGCTTCGCCAGTTATTCATGCTTAACCCTACATTCCTCCAGCCGGAGGAGCGGAAAGCCAAGCCAGCAAGGGAACAATGACAGACCACCATCCCTTGGTGGTACGGTTTCGTGCACTCAACCAGTTGGAAGAATAATTAGTCCGTTGAAATCTCTAGAGGAGTAATCACAACATCGACTATGAAGATGCATGTCAGCTTGCTACCTTCATAGGCCATCAGCTGAACCTCTGAACAATCTTGTTTTCGTAGCAGCATGCGCTTGTTGAACGGGAAACGCGGCATCAAGTCCCTTACCTTCTGAGCTCGACCCTGGCGCAAATTCTGGCGCGGGCGTAGGCGAAACCGAACGCGTGGCCGCTGCAGCGAGTGCCAGGTTGGCGGGTATTGAAAGACGAATTTGAGGTTAGACGTTTAGACAATCAAGAGCTTCGCCAGTTATTCATGCTTAACCCTACATTCCTCCAGCCGGAGGAGCGGAAAGCCAAGCCATCAAGGGAACAATGACAGACCACCATCCCTTGGTGGTACGGTTTCGTGCACTCAACCAGTTGGAAGAATAATTAGTCCGTTGAAATCTCTAGAGGAGTAATCACAACATCGACTATGAAGATGCATGTCAGCTTGCTACCTTCATAGGCCATCAGCTGAACCTCTGAACAATCTTGTTTTCGTAGCAGCATGCGCTTGTTGAACGGGAAACGCGGCATCAAGTCCCTTACCTTCTGAGCTCGACCCTGGCGCAAATTCTGGCGCGGGCGTAGGCGAAACCGAACGCGTGGCCGCTGCAGCGAGTGCCAGGTTGGCGGGTATTGAAAGACGAATTTGAGGTTAGACGTTTAGACAATCAAGAGCTTCGCCAGTTATTCATGCTTAACCCTACATTCCTCCAGCCGGAGGAGCGGGAAGCCAAGCCATCAAGGGAACAATGACAGACCACCATCCCTTGGTGGTACGGTTTCGTGCACTCAACCAGTTGGAAGAATAATTACTGTCTTGCTGAAATAANGCATGCGCTTGTTGAACGGGAAACGCGGCATCAAGTCCCTTACCTTCTGGCGCGGGCGTGTCCAATGCAGGTGCAGCCGTAGGCGAAACCGAAAGCGTGGCCGCTGCAGCGAGTGCCAGGTTGGCGGGTATTGGAAGACGAATTTGAGGTTAGACGTTTAGACAATCAATGCTTCGCCAGTTATTCATGCTTAACCCTACATTCCTCCAGCCGGAGGAGCGGGAAGCCAAGCCATCAAGGGAACAATGACAGACCACCATCCCTTGGTGGTACGGTTTCGTGCACTCAACCAGTTGGAAGAATAATTACTGTCTTGCTGAAATAACTTGTCGTGATGAATCTAGACTATGGATATTGGACAGTATCAGTTCGTTGCTGCCCAAGCCCCTCGATGAAGAGGATGAACTTGAACGATAATTTACTACAGAGTTGCCTTTCGGGCCTGTGTTCTCTCACCACACGTGTACCCTTGATCTCCGGGAGTGCACATTTCTTGGCCGCACACGTTGTCGATTACGCCCTCAATAGCGCACCCTGAAAACGTTCGAAGAATATCAGTGTTTGGGGGCGCATCGAGGATATTGCACAACCAGGTACAAGCCCTAGTGCCACTCAGGAAGGACGATAGCAACACGTTTTTCTCAAACTGAGTGTGCCTAAATCCACCACTCGCCCGATGTTTACCTTCGAGATCAGTCTCGCGCAGAGGTTTGCACCGAGTAAGAGCCGTCCAACAGTATGGAACAGCCAGGTTTGAGCTCAATCAACGCTGCATCTCCTTTCGATCATGTCGTCGTGCCTCGAATGGGAAACGGAGCGAAAAACAAAATCCCACGCAAACTGCTACTGGTCGACCCGGTACCTTCATGGGGCAGACTGTGGCGCAGCAAAAGCAACATGCTACCGGTGAGCACCTATCGGCCCCAAGCCCATCGGTACACCGTTGTCAGCGAGACACTCACCACATTCGTCACCGTAGGCATCAACGTGGAGCCCGTCTGCATAGAACGAGGCATCATCATCAACTTCCACCCTGCGAAGTGCGCAAAAGAGGTCACACAGGTCTCGCTATACAGACAGCCGAAGCAAATAAGGCGAGGTCGATCTAGGATGCAATGTATCAATGGACATGCTCCATGGGTAAAGCAGGAAGGAGGATGCCCGGTAAAACTCTCCTTTCTGACGGTTACACGCAAAATTTGTTTTTTTGCACTCCAAATCAGCGCTCACAGCACTAGTGCCGTTTACTCTACGCTCCCCTCCTGCGGTACGTTGCCTTCGATTTTCATGCGAGGAGAGTTCAGCACTCTTTCCTCTGTGTACACACGACGAACTACAGTAGCGCCATCCGCTAGGCCAGGAGCGGAAGCAAGAGAAAAACTCACTTTGCAAAATAAGCTCGCTTACGCCGGGATCTCAACCCTGAACCTGACCTTTAGATGGTTTCGAGGGTACCGACCGGGGTACCAATGCAATGCATTATTTAGACGCGCTCAGAGTCCACGCAACACGCGTGCGTAATCAGAACAACTTGGTCAACGCGGTAGCTAAACACTATTGTCGTGTTCGACGAATCACGCTGTTTAGGGTACCTGCATCAACACCAATTCGTTCTTGTAACACGCATTCGTCCCATATCGCGAGCAGCAGCAAACAACAAGTGTGCTCGGTATCTACGTGATGCTGGCCGGATCCGCCAGTACGCGATAGGGTTCATATCCTTCTCTTCATATGTATTACAAAGCGATAGGCCCATGCTTTTTAAGCGTTCCTCACAGTTCATTTGAAGGCAAGCACTCCAGAGAATTCCCCTCCAGGTGCCTAAAATTCAGGTACCGAACGAGATTTGCCAGCGCATGACCGGACCAGCGCGGCAGATGCAACAACGGATTATACGTTGGGGAAGGAACAACAAGGTTAGCATGGTGGCCAATAAAGATACGAACAGTTGGTGAGGCGCCATCGCCTAACACAGCAACAAATCATTGCCGCAGCACCGCGCCGATGGTGTTCCAGGTAGAGCGAAAATGGTAATTCAAACATGGGACGATACTCCTCTTTCCTCTTTGTTTGCCTGGAGATAATCTCGCGAGGGAAAGGGAGAACTTTCAGTAAGAATGAACGGGCTTGAGAGAGAGGAGATATACTGTAAGAGGGGCATCCAAACAAGTGTGACATGTCGGGAAACTATTATTATTGCCAGCTACCTCCGGCCAACGCTTGCCTACAATTCCCGACAAGCGCCAAATACAACCACAACTCCTTGCTTTGTAGGTGTTCTCGCTAGCAGAAAAGGATCTACCAGAGAACCGGCGGGTTGAAGCCATTATGCCAATAACACATGAGATATGGAAACCACTAAGTATGGCTGTGATCTCATGCCGAAAGCAGGCAGACCTCAGTGAATAGTATGCACGTACGCCGTAAGCTGCAACGACGAGGATCAACATATACTCGGATGTAGTGCCCCGGCAAATTATCATGTGGATCACGAAGGAAACGCTTACGCAGCAGTTGATCGCAGCACGTTGAACTACCTGGCCTCTGAAGCTCCCAATTACGAACGGAATATAGATACAAGAAAGCTAAAGAATACCGTTCAGTATCTGCACGAGACTTTTCTCCCCAGCAATCAGTGCTTGCTGCCGCACATGCTGATCGCGATGGCCTGGGTACAATCACAACAATCATGCCTACTTCCGGCTACAACGAAGGCGAATAGTTGGCAGCGGGAACACCTTCCAGGGTTAGATTGAGTACACCGCGAACCGGACAAGAGGCTAGGATATGAGGCCAACAGGACACCATCACGTGGAGGCTCTACGGCGAATGCCAGGAAGCGACGGCTGATCCGGATACGTAGCACGATCCTTGGTGCTCACGTTTCCAGCAACGGGCTGGAGGTGGATTCAGACACCCCCGACCTGTTCCACACCGAACTTCCTACCAACTGCTTGCCGCCGCGCTAGTCGGGGTTGAATGGGTCATGGGGACGATTTGTCTGCGATATCCTAGCTCTCCATCGCAAGCTAGCCCCATGCGGAAAAACATTCTACCGACGACCTTGTCCAACAGCTACTTACAGTGTTTCCAAGGCCGTAAGACCCCCGAAGATTCCCTCAGGCAGCGTGGTGAGCTCGTTGTAGTGCAGGTACCTTCGGGTGTCGAGGGAAGGCCACGAGCGGAGCAGATAACACACATAAGCCAGCAATCAGTGCTTGCTGCCGCACATGCTGATCGCGATGGCCTGGGTACAATCACAACAATCATGCCTACTTCCGGCTACAACGAAGGCGACGAGTTGGCAGCGGGAACCCGTTCCAGGGTTAGATTGAGTACACCGCGAGCCGGACAAGAGGCTAGGATATGAGGCCAACAGAGCACCATCACGTAGAGGCTCTACGGCGAATGCCAGGAAGCGACAACTGATCCCGATACGTAGCACGATCCTTGGTGCTCACGTTTCCAGCAACGGGCTGGAGGTGGATTCAGACACCCCCGACCTGTTCCACACCGAACTTCCTACCAACTGCTTGCCGCCGCGCTAGTCGGACCGTCATTGGTCAAAATGACGATTGGTCTGCGATCTCGTAGGTCTCCATCGCAAGCTAGCCCCATGCGGAAAAACATTCTACCGACAACCTTGTCCAACAGCTACTTACAG